TGTACATTACTTGGGTCCAATACTGACAATAATTGGACCCCTGTGTTTGAATGTGTATGAATGGAAGTAAAAGGAGCTTAAAATGTGACTGTGGCTTAAATGTGACACTGTCTGTCCAGACAAGAACTACTTTAGAGTTCCTGCTACAAAACTGAATGAATGAAAGGACAAGCCTGGCTTCACCTCCAGGAAGGAAAAATGAAGGAGGGGTGCTTTGGGCAATTTTTTTTATGTTCGCCCTGTCAGCTCAATAGCATGAATTAATTCTGATGTGGTTAATGTTCTCAAATGTCTAATGCCCTATGGAAAACACCATTCTAGTTCAAAAGTTAATGTTTGTATGAACTTACAGTACACTGGGCTTCACTTTATCAACTGTCCAGCTCTGTGCATTTAGCAGCAGTTCTCAATTCTAGACCTCGGGACCCACAGCACTGCACATTTTCTATGTTTCCTTTGGGCCCTATCATACACCCGGTGCAATGCAGTGCCAGTGTTTTTTGCTAGTATCGGCCCAACGCATTTATCATTTTCACGTCCAGGGCCATGTTGTTTACACAGCAAATGCATTTGTGCCCATAGGCATGCTAGTCTGAAAACCCAGGTGTGTTCAGGCGTTTTGTTACCGCTTTGCTATCTTGAGGCAACTGAAATCAATTGACCAACAAAAACCTGGTCTAAAGTCAATGGCGCATTTTTTTTTTTTTTACTATTTAAAGAGCGTGTTAGTAATGTGCACCGATAGGCGGGTCCACAACATGCGTAAACTCTGCTTATCACACACAGGGACGCACAGTACCACGCAAACATGCCAAACGTGGAAAATAAAAGGATTACAATTTAAAAGATTATTATTGTGTACAAAATATGGTGGAAACTGGCTTGTCCCATAGATCGCCGGCTAGCGCGCTTTAACCTCGCATGCTTTAACCTCGTGCACGAGCAAATCCGTTTGCTCTCTGGAGAAGCAATCAGTCTCTCTGCTTGCAAATTCCACCATGTAAATAGTGAATCCCTCATGGCGCGAGCGCATCTGGCTTTTAAAGGAAATGGAAAGTTACACTCTGATTGTTTTTTAGCACGTTGTGCCCAAAACACACCCATTACTAATTAAAGGAGTGGTTCACTTTAAAGGCATACTCCACTTTTTTGGAAATAGGCTCATTTTACCACTCCCCCAGAGTTAAACAGTTGAGTTTTACCATTTTCAAATCCATTCAGCCGATTTTCTGATATTTAGAAGAATATCAGTAACCAGACAGTTTCTGGTCTCATTGACTTCCATAGTAGGAAAAAAAATATACTATGGAAGTCAATGAGACCAGAAACTGTCTGGTTACTGATATTCTTCTAAATATCAGAAAATCGGCTGAATACATTCGAAAACTGTTAAACCCAACTGCTTAACTCGTGTGGAGTTAAAATTTCCAAAAAGTGGAGTATTTTTCCAGCTTTCGGGGGGCCAGCTTTCCAAGCCAAACTTGGAAAGCTAGCCCCCCGGCGGGCAGCAGCAGATGTGGCGACGGGACCTACGTCTCCGTTCTCTCCCTCAGGGAACGAGGGTTACCATATGTACCCGAGATGTTCCCTATTGGTCAGTCACTACAACGTAGGTCAGACTGACCTATAGGAATCCCTACCAAAGCGCCACAGTCGCTGCACCCCATCCAGCGCCCCATGCAAGCCTCTACACCTTCTTTCCTGGAAGGACGATAGGAGGAGGATTACACAGAGAGTGTCTGACACTGTTGTTCCTTAATAACCCATACAGTGAGACTTGGATAACACTGGGAAAGCGTGCCCTTTTTAGAGTCGTAGAGATAGTTGAGGATGCGAACACCCTGTTCTCTCATGGGAACAAGGGCCCCCTCTGCGACTTTCGTGAAGACACGGGGGGACAGGGACAGCACGAAGGGTAGGACCTTGTACTGATATGCTCGACCCTCGAACGCAAAGCGCAAAAACGGCCTGTGTCGAGGGAGAATCGAGACATGAAAGTACGAATCCTTCAGGTAAATCGCTGCAAACCAATCTCGGGGACGGATGCACTCGAAGATGCGTTTGTACGTGAGCATTTTGAACGGTAGCTTGTAGAGGCTCCGATTCAAAACTCGCAGGTCCAAGATTGGTCGTAACCCACCACCTTTCTTGGGTACAATGAAGTAGGAACTGTAGTGCCCTGACTTCATATCGGCTGGAGGGACCGGCTCTATCGCGTCCTTCGCCAGTAGGACTGCGATCTCCGCGCGCAAGACATGGGCATCGGCTGCTCTCACTGTAGTGGAGTGGATGGCCCGAAACTTGGGGGGATGCCGGGCGAACTGAATCGCATAGCCGAGCCTGATGGTCCGGATGAGCCAGCGAGACGGACCGGGGAGCGCTAACCAGGCTCTCAGAGACCGTACAAGTGGGACTAAGGGGACCGTAGGCGTACCCGGAGTGGGGCAGCGAAGTGGAACACAGGGACCAGGCTGGGGGGGCTCTCTCTGGGAGGCAGGCCCCAGAGGGGTCTGAGTGTGCTGTGAAGCACTTACCTGGTTCCACGAGGCAGGAGATGCGGGAGGCGGCTCGGTGGCGTTCTTGGACCGTACATTGCTGCCAGCTGGCGATAGAGGAGGAGGATGAGAGTGGTAAGGATTTTGTCCCCCCACTGCTCCCCGAGTCCTCTTCGGACCCAGAGATGGTGGAAACTGCTCTTTTATTGAAAATTTGGGTACCGCTGGCCCAAAAACAAAACAAAAGTTTTTGTTTTCAAAAACAAAAACTTTTGTTTTTGAAAACAAACAAAACAAAAGAAAAGATTTTCCACCCGGCCCTCTTCTGGGGGAGGGAGCGATGCCGTCATCGTCTCCTGGGTCATCTCTGGGTCCTCTTCAGACCCAGAGATGGTGGAAACTGCTCTTTTATTGAAAATTTGGGTACCGCTGGCCCAAGGGCACCGCTGGCACCCCTGAAGGAGGCAACGGCTCCGACACGTCGTCCGTAGAGACATCTGACCCACCCTCCGATGCCGTGATCGACATCTGTTCATCGCCGGGAGCGCCAAAGGAAACGGTTGGTACACACCTCGTGGATGGTCCACCGCGCTCCCTTGGCAGCTCACATGGTTGCGGAGACCGAGAGGGATGAGGGTTCATAGGGGGTTGGTTCCCCGAAGGAAGCGCGCTGACTGTAATCCTCAGGTCACCCGCGCCAGCGTCCGAAGCAACCCTCACAGGTAGACTGTTCCAAAGTTTAGGGCCGGCAGTTGCGAAGGCATGATCACCTCGCTTTTTAAGTCTAGATCTAGGCACGATGAGTAGACATTGATCGCTAGATCTCAGACTTCTAGAGGGAGTGTACAGGCGAAGTAGATCAGTAAGATACTGAGGGGCCAAATTGTTGAGTGCTTTATAAACAAATAATACAATTTCTGAAGTTGACAGGTAGCCAGTGCAGTGATTATAAAACCGGGGTGATCGACTTACGGGTCCCAGTAAGAAGTCTAGCAGCTGCGTTTTGCACTAGCTGTAGACGGGAGAGGGAAGACTGAGAGACACCGACATAAAGAGAATTACAATAGTCTAAACGTGATGTAACAAAAGCATGGATCACTGTTTGAAAGTTACTCTTGGTTAAAACAGTTTCACTTTTGAAATTTGGCGAAGATGAAAAAAGCATGATCTTCCAACAGCACAGATCTGTTTATCAAATTTTAGGTTATGATCAAACAGACAAGCCCAGATTTCTAGCACATTGTGTTTCATAAGGGGCAAGTGGACCACGGTCAACATCGAGAACACAGTTCCCTTTCGTAGTCACTTCGAGTTACGTCAGAAGTGACGGAGATTGGGGGTTTCGCATAGAAAGCCAATCCTCTTCGAGTATTTAAACACGAGCCAATGGCATGCAATGCCTTGGGGCTGCGGAATTTTGCATAGCGTACTCCGCCCTACTCCGTGAGTATAAAAGGAGGAAGTGAACGCAACCGCAGTATGTTTTCGCTTCGGAGCCAAGAGAACCTCTTCACTCCTGAAAGCACTGTTCAAGACTCTTCGAGACGAGCGTCCTCTTCAGTGTTGGTGTGACGGCGGTACCCAGCGAGATTCTGCATCGCCTGCGATCTGAGCAGTGGTCTGCCAGACTTTGCGCTTCTCCCTGGTCGCTTCAGCGCTGAAAGAGTGAATTTCCTCCTCTCATTGAAAGAGCTGCACGCGCACGTCTTTTTAAAGACGGTTCGCCCGTGTTCTTCTGGGTGTGGTTGATTTCTGTCGTCATCTGATGGTCACGATCGCTGCTCTGTATGCCTGGGCATTTCAGCATGCAGCAGCAGCGTTCGTGGATGACTCATGTTCCTTCTGTGGGAACATGACCATCTCTACACTGAGGTCGAGACTCAATGATCTCACTTGAGTGAGAGTCCCGGTCCCCCCCGCTCGATCGGTTTCCTCCATAGGGGGCCCGTCGACCCGGGGACCTGGTGATTTTACGGTGATGGTG